CAATTCGCGAAAATTTTGTCTCGCTAATCAAGAGTCAATGACTATCTCGCAAAAAATAAGGTCTCGCGAAAATTTAGTGATCTACAGTATGCAAATGCATATATTTGGGTGTAGTATAGGTATCAGTACCAATGAGGGGGGGGGGGGGGGGGCGTTAGTCACACCAATATTTTGCAAAGATATATATAATAGAGGCATTAAAAGTTGGGGGGGGGCGTTAGTCACACCAATATTTTGCAAAGATATATATAATAGAGGCATTAAAAGTTGGTTGGGCTTACCTTGGGGTTCCACTTTCTAATTGCTACCCACAGCTATGTATAAGAAACAAGAAATCTGTGAGCCAATGCTCACTAGTAATACCCCCGCTCTGAGGTAAATACCGGTAAGCACTATACACAAGTTCAATTACAGGCAGATGCACAGAAAAATATGAAGTTGACATCAGATTCATATCAAAATTAATACCACCATATGTCATGCCTCAACAAAGGGTGTGATAAAATTTCAAGCATCCGCTATGAATAGGTAATGAGAAAACTGGGACAAAAATTTGTTATGTGTGAAACGGACAGACGCACAGACAAACAGGAAGTTGATATCGGATTTGGAAAAAAAAATATATCCCAAGATATGGCATACCTCAGAGAAGATTTTGTTAAAATTTCAAGCATCTACAACGAGTAGTTGCAGAGAAAACTGTGACGAAAATTGGTTAATATTATGAAATGGACAGACAAACAGACAAACAGGAAGTTGACATCCAATTTGAGCGAAAATGTATCCCACCATATGGCATGCCTCAGAAAAGATTGTGTTAAAAGTTCAAGCATCTACAATGAGTAGTTGCTGAGAAAACTGCGACGAAAATTTGTTATTATGAAACGGACAGATGCACAGACAAACAGGAAGTTGATATCCAATTTGAGCGAAAATTTATCCCACCATATGGCATGCCTCAGAGAAGATTGTGTTAAAATTTCAAGCATCTACGATGAGTAGTTGCTGAGAAAACTGTGACAAAAATTTGTTTCGGACGGACACACGGACAGACACACAAGGGTAAAACAGTATACCCCCCTCATCTTCGGAGCGGGGGTATAAAAAAGAGTTGGGCTGAGAGACATTCTATATACTCATTCTCCTTGTTTTCAGTGAGGGTAAATCAATACATGTAAATTAAAACTTTTTTCGAAAGATATAATTAAATTACAAATTGCTTCTCTCATTTACTAAAATCTAAGTCTAGAGTTTTTGTTTCATACATATTTTTTTCGAAGTGCGTTAAATTTCCACATGGTAAAAAATATTGATGTACACTCTTAACGCACTTTGAAAATTTTTTCAAAGTGCGTTTCAAGTGTATCCCAAATTTAACGCACTTTGAAATTTTTTTCAAAGTAAGTTGATTTTGTCCCAATTTTAACGCACTTTTAATTTTTTTCCGAAGTGCGTTGCCACAATGCATGTATTTATATCACACAATAAAAACCAATGTGTAAATTCCATGCTCAATTATGGAATTTTTTCTCTAAGAAATTATAAAATTATTTTATAAGATATCACTATTGATATGATATACTCACTGAATTTTCGTATTCTTTTTTCAAAAATTTCAAAGAATACGGCATCTGCGTCAATTTGTGTTCCCACTCCTGAGGACGATACCCCCTGTAGCCGGCATTTCTCAAGAGTGTTCGAATATATGATCCCAATGCAAACATCATTTCCGAAACAGGACTGGGAACAAAGACTAAAGGAGGCATTCCAGATTACAGCGATCGTCTCCGTCAATGTGAACTCGACAGTCGTCTTTCGGAGATTCATACATTGGATATCTACTCAAAATTTCAAAAACACTCATAGTAAGTAATATATTCTATCGACACAGGATAATAATTTAAAAAAGGTACATGTAAGTAGGTTGAAACGATAAATTTTTCATTCGAAAACACATGCTAATGTAAAAATGTATATATAATTTATTAAAAAAAAAAAAAAAAAAAGATGTCATTTTAATGGGGTTAAAAAAACTATTTGTAATGAATAAAAAACCTAATTTTTAATAAAGTTTCGAGTTAGGCCGTTTTCATCAGTCGTTCAAAAGAGGGCAAACAAGTTTTTTTTAATGGCCCTATACTAAAAATATCTTAGAACTAGGAGACTTATTGTTCACAGAACAATAAGAGGTCTTTCCACCTTCTTTGAATTTCAATTTTGTTTTATATCTGACTCATTAAAATTAGATTCCATGAATAAGAAACCAAAATTGTCTTAAAGGATAGAAAAAAATGAAAATAAAAAAATGAAATGACCTTGACCTTTGACCTTGAGAAAATGCTCAAGGACAAAGGTCAAGGGTCACAATGCAATTGACCCCATGCTTCTATGACTTATAGTTTTTAAGTTATAAGGTTTAATAATAAGTACAATGACGTTTAAGGGCAATAACTCATATAAGAGGTCATCAGATCCATTTGCACTTATACAGTGTAGTTAT